GGTGGCAGAGTTTGTAAAGGAAATCATAATGGGCTTTGTTAATTTACTCCAATTCAAACTTGGTGCCTTGGGAGTTAGGTCTGATCCCATATGGCTTAATATACTTTCTAAAAGAGCTGAGGTGATCAGCGTATGACCAATTGTGGAAAAGGAATATTCAAAGGTTGGAGGAAATTTCCTCCTATGAAAAACAGATTATCTTGCCTCAAGATTGCTGGATTAAAGTCATATATGTGTAACGCCAAGTCTAGTGCCTGGGACATATTCACAGTTACTGTATTAGAATGGAATAGTATTTTACATGTATGAATTCATGTCTTTCTCACAACTCTCTGAGATAGGAACTATTAGTACTCGATTTTACAAATGAGGGACCTGAGGAGGGCTAGGAAACTTGTCCATTTCACACACCTCATGGAAAGTTTCCATCCTATAAGAGAGCTCAAAGGCAGACAATCTTTATGAACCAAGGGGGTGTGAATGACAAAGGAGGGAGAGGAAGACCTTTAACCATGATATTACCAAGCACCCAGATGTCTCTCGCTGTACATTCCTTAAGTTACTGCTCAAAAGCTCAAGGGACTAAAAACTTTTTGAAAAGACTGCCTCCTTTCCAAAGAACTGGTAGGCATGGAGATAATACAGGTGACCCAACTGAAATATACTAAAGTCAGAGACATTTGCCTTGTATGTAGTCAGAAAATACTCAGAAACAGACTGCCTGCCAAACTGTACAGAGTGGGAGGGGCAAGCCATGTATACAATCGCTCTGCTGATACCTGAAGACGGAGGAGCAGAGGACATGGACACAGAGAATGTGCCGATCCTTCTCCAACTCTACTATAGATACTTTGGGAGGAATTAGAAGAGGGTATTCATCTATTTCCTTGCTCTAAAAATTCTGCATCTCATTTCTAATGTTTGAGCAACAGTCCATAGCAAGTACTATATAGAACACAGAATTACACATAGTTCCTAAAAAAACAAGCTGCATTCAAAATAACGGAGACATCTTCAGAAGACATGCCATGTGGGTTATCTCCCAGGCAAATCTATAGGGAATGGATATATATATATGTAGGTGGACCTCCAAAAAGAAACCTGAGATCCATGATTTCAAGATTTCCTTACTGTAGCAAGGGAACAATGACATGCGGTCCTTTGGGGGAAGCGAGGACAAGGTGTGTCTTAACCTCTCCTGCCTGCAGGTGAGTCTGGCTGCAGCATCCTTCCTATTACCTCATGACAGATGCTGCGGTCAGGGAACTGACCAAGAGGGAATGAGTGTTGGTGGCCTCAGAACCAGTCAAACTGGACTTGGCCTTTGCAGGGTGAGACTCACTGCCAGACTTGCAGGCTCCTGATAGCTCCTATCCTTAGCTGTGGTCCCAAGAGCTAGTAAAGCTATTCAATTTGCACAGGTACTTTGTTAACTCTACACTTACAAATTTCTGGGATATAAGATCTCTTATGAGAACTATGGTCCGAAACACCTATGGGAAGGCCCTGGCCGGTGTCATACTGAGCAGCAGACTGAGTCTGGATTCCTCTCAGTCTCATACCCTCAACAAGTACAATGGTGGATCACCAAGAGTTTGGCCACCCAAGAAAGGGGCAGGCACACACACTGTGACATCATTTTAAAGTACATCAAATGACAGTGGCTTCTATCCCTGTCCCCAACCTGATTTCTCTTTCGGAACATGCTCTTCCTGAAACGTTAGGCTTGCTAAGGAGGACTAAGTCAAGAGTCCCAGCATCTACTGCAGCAACCCCAGCATGACTGCCTGTGAAAGCCCTAATTCATCAGCTTTGCCTTGAAGCCACTGAATGACTGGAAAGAATTTGGAAACTGGTGTCTCAAATCATTGCCAAGTACACTGACATAAGAGTACTATTTACCCTAAGAACTGTTAACATTCTACCCAAAAGCATGGCACCTATGGCTCAAAGGAGTAGGGTACCGGCCCCATATGCCGGAGGTAGGGGGTTCAAACTCATCCCTAGCCAAAAACAAAACATTCCACCCAACGAGTCCACAGTAAATCGGCATCTTGTCCCTGCCAGGAAGTGGCTCACGTTAAAGCTGTGTTAATTTTCCAGACTCCATTTTCAGCCACCTTCACCATGCCTGTCTAGTAGTTGTCTCCTCATGGAAAACAGTGATGAGAGAGTGAGCTGAGAGGACCTGAAGGCTTGAGGACAGACATGAGGGTGTGTCCACCTGGCGAGGAAAGCTGGGGAAACAGGCTTCACTGATGTTCTGAGGGTCTGAACACCCTGACAAGAGGGGAATGGCCATCTACAGACTCTCTACAACAGGGGTCCTCAAACTTTTTAAACAGGTGGCCAGTTCACTGCCCCTCAGACCATTAAGAGGGCCAGACTGCGGGCCCCGAATGAATCGGGTGCTAAGCAGGACAGGCAGTGGCGGCAAAAACACCCGGCGAGCCAGATAAATGTCCTAGGCGGGCCGCAGTTTGAGGACGCCTGCTCTACAATGTACTAGGCATGATGTTACGCCCTTTCCGTATCTCAATGTATCCTTCAAACATCCCTTGGATGGTAAAATTAACCTTGACAGATGTGGGACAGCTCAGGTTATGGGGCCCGAGTTAGGAGGCAGGAGAGATAAGATGCACATATTGGAATTTCCCAAAGCTCGTGCTATCTTCACACAGAATCTCAACACCAAAATGTTTTAAGTGAAGAGCAGAAGAGATATATTTCTCTTTGATGACTGCTGGGGTGAGGTTCCTCTTCCTCCGAGCCAACAGACTGGAGGCTGAGTGAGTGGAATGTGAGACACCAGGGGCGCAAGTGGAATTCATAGCCGTGTGCTGTTGACTGCTATTAGGTGAGACTGTTCAAACGCACCTGGGCAGTCAAGGTTTCTTTAGACCAGAAGAGTGGAAAAGAGGGCATTACGTACAGACAGGCAACAGATTTTCGTGAAGGGCACAGGCTCCAAAGCCGGACAACCTGAGTTTATTTATTTATTTAGAGATGGAACCCTGCTCTGTCACCCAGGTTGGAATGCAGTGGTGCAATCACAGCTCACTGCAACCTCAAACTCATGGACTCAAGTAACTGTCCCACCTCAGCCTCCCAAAGAATTAAAATTACAGGTGTGAGCCAGGGTCCAGCCCAGACTGAGTTTAAATCCCATCTCCTGTTTTGCTTTGACACAGTCCGACGTATGTGTGCACATGAGGGTGTCTGGGTGAGGTGGTGCAGATGGGCCAGCAAGAGGCAGGAGAGGCCACATGACAGGTTTGCTCAGACCAGTCAACAGACATCTGAACTATGCTGGATATTCTATTTCTGTGCATGTTTGAAATTTCATGAACAGAAGCTTAAAAATAAACGTGGGCTCCTTCACTGACTAGTGCTGTGACACAGACAAGCTGGCCTGCCTCAACTCCTACATTTGTAAAATTGAGTACTGATAGCGCCTGCTTCATGGAGTTGCATGAGAAATAAATGAATTAAGATGTGTAAAATACTGAGCTACTATTATAATAGGAAGCGTGTCTTTGGCAATAGACTTGGCAGAACAAACATACTATTTCAATTTAATCCTCCCAACAATTCTGAGGTACGATAACCTCTTCTTCTTCACAGGAGGAAGGGAATTCCAAGGGATTCCAGCAGCAAATTTTCCTTCTAGTGGGCTCACACCTCCCTCCAAGTGACTTTTTCAGTTATTTATTGACAAGGAAACTGAAGCTGGGTGGGATGGATGATCCACACCTGTGAGAGGTAGTAGTTGGGAATTAAATGCAGATCAGGCAGTTACAAAACGTGCAGCCTGGCTCCTTCTCCTGTAGTGGACAGGCTGTCCTTGTACAATCCTCACAGCTTCCACCCTGGGAGGAGGGGGCCGGCCAGCAGCTCATATGAAGAGCAGGGGTGGCTGCCCGTTCCCCTCTCCATCCTCCCATGAGTGAGTCCTTGGGGCAGCAGCCTTCAGTCTTTCCTAGACCCACAAGCACTGACTTAGCTCGCAACAGCCAAATAAGGGGGAGATGGAAGCATAGCCCCCGGGTGACTGAAAGCTCGGCACTAGCTCTTAAAGCCACCGCAGAAAAGAATGACTAGTTTAAATAAGAGAAATTTATTACTTTGCTGGCAAAGGAGGAAAAATGGCAAACTATTCATCTCAAATACCAAATTTCCTGCATTTGTTAAGTGTTCTGGGAAATCTCGTTCCAGGGCCACCTGCGTGTGAGGGAGTACAAGGAGGCACCGTCTCTCCCTAGGACCAGCTTCTGCAGAGCAGGCCACAGAACACTGTTATCCCCACCACGGGGCAGGGGCCCCGCGCATCAGATGGAGTCCTTCCTCTCAAGAGCTGCTTGGTTTCCCTGAGACTCACTCCAAGGGGCCCCAAATCTCCACTAACAGCCTGTGCCATCAGTGAGCAAGTCATGCAGCCACCAAGATTAGAGAGCACTGCGCTCCCCACAAATCTCTTAATCAGCAATGAAGCAGAGCAGACACCCTCAGAACCATTACCATGAATCTGACTTCCAAAAAGAAGCTGCTCCATCCAGAACCCAAACTGCACACACAAGGCTGTTAGAACAAAATGAGGACCCCTTCCAGCCAATCTGCACCGAAAACTCAGCTGGCATGCCAACAATTTACATCTTTTCAGCTGAGAACCAACCAAGGCTGCCCTTTACCTCCAGGACAACTCTGGAGGTTGTTTGCACTGCTATGGTATTAAAAAGTAGAAATAACTAGTACAAAAATCACTGTGATCACATTCCTTTAGAACCCTTATTTTTGCCAAAAACAATTTGCACACTCTTTCTGTCCCTCTTAAGATTTCCTCAATCTTAAAATGATCCAGTCAAAAAGCATATTTTTAACTGGAAGTACTGAACAGAGGGGGAAGTGGGAGGCTGGGAGATCCCCAGGGGACGAGGAGGAGAGACAGCCAGGATGGGCACCCCACAGACAGCACCTCTTGGCAAAACAAGATAAACACCCAGTTTAAGGCTATTATCATCTCCTTTATTCAAAAAATAAATATTTCACTTTGAATCAACATATTTCAAATCACATTAAGCATAGAGAAGAAATACAGTCCCTTTGGAGATTGTGAACACGTGTAGGAAAGAGCCATGTTGCAACAATGGGGATGAGGTGAGCACGGATTCCGGCTGCGGCACGACCCAGAGGCTCCGCCTCCCAGGTGGAGCTGCTTACTGATTGTAGGAGAGAAAAAGAAACACACTGCTTTGAAGTCTGAAAGGCACATGAAGTGGACCATAGGTGTATGGCACATTCACTGATAAAACGTTCCCTATTCCCTCCCAAGAAAAGTGGGGAAATTTTAATCAAGTAAAAACCCAGAGAAGACAGGGTGCTCCTGCTCAGAGCTCAGCATCATGAACATCTCTGAATACGAAAGCCATTGTTTGCTCCCCTCCCGCACCTCCTCTCCCTGCCGACAGAGTCTGCGCCGGCCGCGGCGCTCACTCCGTGATGGTGGGGCGTGTGGCCACGTACACGAACACCACGATGAGCAGCACGACCACGGCCAGCGTGGGCAGCACCACCGTGGTGATCTGCTGCCGGGCCTCCTGCATGGCCTGCTTCCGCTCCTTCTTGTCCTTGGACGTCTCTTTCTTGGGCTTCCCTTTGAGCTGCCGCATCTTTCTTAGAGGATGCTTAGGAGGGTGTGTCCAGAGGGTTTCCAAGAAGGGCCACACTTCTCTCGCCACGGGGTGGAACCTCCTATAGGAAGAACAGCTATGATCAAGAATGAACGGAGTGCAAGAAAAAGGGAATGACAAACTTAAAGGCAAATAAAGAACTAGGAAATCTCTACAACTTAAATGACAAAGGACTAAGAGCAGAAGTCACACTGGGCTCTGGTTCCCCCGAGATCAGCCCCTCTAAGCAGCAGGCACCGGGAACACGGGCTCATGTGCGTGGTACACTGCAGCCAGGCGGCAGGTGCTGGGAGAGGGGACCATGCAAATAGCCTGTTCTGTGCATGCCAGGAGGTGGGAAGCCTGAGACGCCCCTTCTCCCTGCCAAGATGTGCTACCTACCTGCTTCCCTGCTCTAGGTTCGTCATCTCCCCAGCCAATTTCCAGGCTGGAAACACAGGCAGCCTGCAGACGTCCCATACGCAGCTCCCTTCCTGCTCAAGCCCAGTGGCACCAACTTCCCAAACCTAAACCCTCACAAACACCTAAGAGCTGAGGACAGAGATGAAGGACTTAGCTGTGTCTTTACAAGCTCACAGTCCAGGATGCATATTGAGTGGAGACCGGGGTCAGCTGGACAACAACCAGGGCCCACGGTCCTGCCCACTCAATCAGTTTCTTTTGTGGTGACCTCTGGGACTCGTGGAGATACTCAAGAGGCAAAGGGGAACTGTCAGAGGACAGGGAATAAAGAAAAACCCTTCAATAACTATAGAGCAACATCTCTATAAAGGTCTGCTTCTTAGTGTTAAGCAACAGAAACCGCCTTTGGCTGATTAAATTGAGTTAAAGTCAGATTGCCCCTGAAAAGCCAGACAGCCAGGCTCAAAAACAGGGCAGGAAAAGGGATGCTGGAGCCCACCCCTTGCTCCTGGTGCAAGGATGCCACAGCCTATGTCACCACTGCCTGCTGGCACTATAGCAGGAGGTGCCCAGCCACCGTGACCACCTGGGAAACTGGCTGTGGCTGCCGCCACCATCTCCAGGATGAACTCTCCATCGCCCCCACTTTCTTCATCACTAGCTCCATGTGATGTGACTGGCCACGCCTGGGCCCCATGGGTCCCGGCCTAACTCCCCACTTTTATAGTTAGGGGACTATTTTCTATGCAATGGACTTGGGCTTGGATATCAGGCAGGAATATAACAAAGACAAATGGCCATGATGGTACCCTGGGAGACCAGCACAGTTAGGGACCTTGGTATATCAATGTTCCTCTAACAAAAGGATTTTATGCAAGATACTATATGCCCAGTTTTGTCCTGGAGCGTTGGGTGGCCTGCCATTTTGTGAAGAGGACAATGACATTTACATTTATGTGAGTGACTGTGTTAGGTGGTAGAATGTGAACTCCCAGTTTAGAAAGGTCTTGTTAATGCTGCCCCGTTTTTTTTTTTCAATTGGGATCCTAATCTCTTATTGCACCCCTCTGTGTCCCACATAGACCCCAAACCCTTTTTTCTATCATTAACAATATGGCAGAGATTCTTAAGGCATGAGATGACTAATATTACTGTGCTAGGATGACATAATGCAAATACTCAGGGCAGTCCCATCTGGGCAAATGTATAATTTCCACCATGAAATTAAGAATAGGGGTAAAGGAAAATGCCCACTGTTACTTTTTTAAGGCCTAAGAGTTGTAGGAACTCCCACCTTTACCAATTCTCCTTTTCAAATCTTCTAAAAGACTTCAGGAAAGACCTGGGTTAAAATCCAGACGTAACACTTACTAGCTAATGGGTCAGGGCAAGTCACATCACTTCAGGAGGCCTCCACGTCCTCACCTGAACAGTGAAACAACTTCTGTCTTGGACGATGACTTAGAAAATGTTGGGATAACATGGTGGTGTTCACAGGGCTGTGGTGAGAACTAGACAAAGAGCTGTGTCACTAGGGCTGGGCACAGAGCAGGCACTGAATTCCTGCGAGCTGACCCAGCTGGACTCGCCCCACAGCCCTGACAGAATCTCCACTGCAGATGGGAGCAAACTAAGGGGCAAAGAGAAGATGTCTGACCAACGGTCACCTGGTCTGTAAATAGGACTGAATGGCTGCTAACACGACACTGGACAGCACCCCTTGTCCAAAGCTGCAAACCACAGCCCAGTTTCTCCCTGACACGGCCTAATGAAATAGTTTAAAAAGAAATAAACCATTAGCAGCATTCTGACTCAGGGCCTTTTCACCCTGGAGCTAATGACCTGTGGGAACCTCCTGATGTCTCGCCCAGGCTTCTGCCTGCCCCCCATCCCAGTCTGGCTGTGCAGGTCTCACTTCACCCTGCTCCTGAAGCTGCTGTCTGCGTCCTCCCACATCCACGCAGTTGACACACAAAGGCACCAGCCTCCATAATGAACAGCTCCTGGCATTTGTCAGACACATGTAGAAGTCCCTAAAGGCTTTGGAAAAAATCTCAAGTTGCCAGAGACAGGGCAGGTCTGGTCAGGATTTAAAAGACAAACATGCCAATCTGAATCCAGGGCTCTTCACCAGGCTATGGTAGGCAGCCCTCCACCCCCATTCCCCAGTGCCTGTGGGGCTTGGGCAGTGAGAGAGGAGGGAAGAGCCTCTGGTGAGGACCGGGACTGGGAGGAGCAGGCAGAGGGCAAAGCAGCCTGAGGAGGGAGAGGAACAGGCAGAGAGGACAGGTGGCTGGGCAGCAGAGGCCAAGTCCTGCAGGGCGCTGCAGGGCCTCTGGGAGGAGCTTATTCCAAGAGCAGCACAAGATGCTGAGGGGCTTGGCGCAGGCACTGAAAAGCTCCCTCTGGCTGGTCAGTGTGGGGAAGGGAGTCTCAGGAACAGCCTGGGGGTCTGGCAGCGACCCAGAGGCGAGGCCCACAGTGGTGACACAAGAGGACAGAATTATGCTCTGGGGGCAGACACCAGGGACACCGGGCAAGGCAAGGGAGAGAAGGCCAGGATAAGCCTAAGGTCTGGAGCCTGAGCCTTGAAGGCAGAGGGAAGGGGCAGAAGGGTGGGGAGAACAGATTCCAGGAAGAACACTGAGTCCTCTGTTCACACCTGTCTGCGTGTGAGAATGCCTATTAAACACTGCCATGGAAATACCAAGGAGGTGGCTAAATAAATGAGCCAGGAGCACTGTCTGGGCCGAAGATCTGTATTTGGAAGTCATCAGCTACTGGACCAGGTGAGCTCTCTCTGGCAAGGTAGATGGAGAAAGGGCCCAAGACTGAGCCCAAGGACGCTGACAAGTACAGACCAGGGAGGCGAGGTGTGAGCAAAGAGGCAAGTGAAGACAGAGGCGAGCACCGACAGAGTCAGGAAGGCCACTGCCAAGAAGAAAATTGAGATGGAGACAAGCAGCAGCGACCAGACTCGGGGAGGGAGAGGTGAGGGTCACACAGGACCAGTAAAGTGTGGCCACCTGCTTGCCACTTGTTTGGGGAGGGAGGGGGCTTGTGCCAGAATGTTAGTGAACACACAGTTTCCTGCGCTGGGGAAGTTTTGCCACAAGACATGCTCAGTGCACAGCTGATTTACTTTCTGGTGCAAGTCCCTTCACCTTCTGGCAACTTGTGATAAATGGTTTGCATGTCAACACTCCACACAGCAGTTTGAAGCTCTGCAGATGAGCACGTGTGCCTGAAAGGGTTTTTCTTTCTTTCTTTAAATAGTAAGAGAGTCCAGCAGATGTAGCATGGGAGAAAACCTGATGTTGAAAAAACATGGGGTTCACCCGTAGGAATGAGATGAGAGCCCAAATGGACAGGCTTGCCCTTCAGAGGCAAAGGCACACCTTCAAATACAACGAGGAGGAGGACAGGGACAGGAGTGGTGGCTTCATACTGTGGGGGTGGGAACAAGTTTCTCAACCAAACAGAACTGGGCTTCAGCATAAAGCCCAGGGAGCTGGGAGGCAGACTTGCGGAAAGAAGCCACAAATAGCAGAGAACCACCTGTCATTACATTCATGGTTACATGAAAAGCAACCACAGCAGAGAAACACCTGTCATTACATGCTCCCTGCCCATGCCCCATCTCGCTGTGAGTGGGTGAGGATGGTATCACCACATGCTCTGACCTCATGATGCACCAGGCCGCCTGCTGGGCCAGCACAAGATCACACAGACCCTGCCAGGATCTCTGAAATGTGGACTTGCCTCACGAAGAAGCCAGGCCTCTATGAATCTAAGAAACAAAGGGACCCTAAGGTTGGACAATCATGCAGATGGAGGCTGAGAAGCCAGGTGGGAGATGAGAGGCTCACAGGCGGCTCTGCAGGGCCCACTCCACAAAGGCTCCTGTCCTGATGGGACTTTGTTATGATGAGCACCTCTCTTAACCTAAGCTGGCTCCTATGGATTTCTGTAGCTTACAGTGAGAAGAGCCCTGAGGAAAATGATTATTCCAATTCTAGAGGCCTTACCACTGTCACAGAAGTAGGAGGTAGTAGGGCCAAAGGTCAAACTCACAGCTGCCTGACTCCAGCAACATGAACAGTCCCACTATCTCAGCCAGCCCTGCACATCCTCCTGCCCTTTACCCTCTGTGTACCCTTCTTTGCTCACCAGCCCCTGGCAGAGGAGAAATAAAAAGTGAAGCTCATACAGCTCAGCCTGGTTTCTTCCCAGCAAGCAACTTGAGCAGGATGGAGCAGGTGAGTGCGGCTGCCACTGCCTCTAGCTCCCCTAATCAGGGAGACAGAAACTTCACAAACACCTGAGTTCCAACGATTCTAACTGGCCCCTGCCCTCCGACCCGTGTGAGCCCATGGCAACAGGTCGGCTCAGGAACATTCCACCTGCTCTCCAGCGCGTATGGGCAGGGGAGAAGAAAGGGGAGACGCACTCTGCAGCAGAGTTTTTAAGTTTATGAATTTTCTCTAATTAGAACTTTCCAGTCTTTTCCTATTACATGTGTATACTGATATCCATGCATACACACATGCTGATTAAGTTCTTTATATGCAATTTATGATTTCTGAATGGGAGATTATAATGTATAAATCATGGGTGCTGGATCCCGTTAGGACAACAGCCAGAAGGTGTGGCAGAAAT